TACTTTAATTGTCTGTATCAAATGGTGTCAGGCTTCAGTTTTACAACCAATAAAGTATTGCATTTCAAACCTTGAACAATCAAGGGCATTCAGCCCTAATCAAATCAAGGGAAAACTACCACCTAACAGTAGTTATCTAGTCCACAATTGACAAAACCTACAAAACCTAATGTGGGGTATCTATTTCAAGTGTGAGGAGGTCACATGGGGATTTGGTCCAATGGATCACCAAATCTCCTAAATACATTGAGTTACATATTTGTATCGATTGATTACTATTATAAGTAAAATAGAATCTAAATCAATGACTATTATAGTGAACCGAGAAAGAGGAGTAAAATGAAGTCCCAAGGAGATGGACAAAAGATGGAATAATGTTCTCAAACAAAAATATAAAAAATCAATATCTAGTTGAGAAAGTCAAGGATGACCAACTAGACTAAGCTCAACTAATTGATAGAAACAGTGAGGTGCCACAATGCATATGTTTAGTAAAAGTGCCTAGATAGTTGCAAAAATGGGTCCTTAGGGCTCTACAAACATAATGGGGAACTAATGTTTAAACCAAAGTTTTATCTAGAGAACACCATAAAAGGGAATGGATTGGAATTTGGAAGTGTAGGGTTCAACTTTGTTTATCCGTATAGGTTCTATTGATTTCTGTTAATTGTTTGCTATCTATGAATACTCTTCCTATTAAATATCACGTTAACACACATAACCAATCACGTGTTTCTATTTTAACAATTGTATTTACTTAAATACGATGAGTTCTCATTATTTTTTTTATGACGTGGAAGATATGATTCAATCAATTCAGCTTGATTTGACAAAATCGAACTCCAAAATATCGAGCTTTGAGATAAATGACCGAGAGGTATACTCTCTCACGTCATTCCAACTCAACATGCTATGTATTTTCTACAAGTTTTATAGCTCACTTTGAAAGAAAATGAAGGGAATAGAATATGGTCAAAAACTTGGTACCACTAGAGATTTGATCCTCAATGTATATATACTTTTGGGTAATGATTTGTTTGGTTTCTCCTTTTAGTCGTGTATGGGTAGCGTCTTCGTTACGTACTGTGGACTCTTTGATTCGTAGGCCCTAGCACGAAATCTTCAAGGATCAAGCTTTCTTTTTCATGGTGAGAGGATCAAGCTACTCTATTATATATATTGATGACGTATTCCTTAGACTTATGTTTATAACATAACTTTTGGATAAACACAATCACCTGTAAATCAAGTGCATCGTCTTAAATACTTATTTGACTCAATCAAAAAGAGTTGAACTCACGATGTAAAGATTTTTATGAGTCTTAAAATAGGAAGGAGGAGGACTCTTTCTTTAAGCATTAGTTAAAGGGGAAGCCATTGAGATGTGAGAGTGTAACTAGGTGGATGAGCAGAACGTATGAACCGTGGAAATCAATGTTAAACTGAGCTATAAGGCTTGTGGGGATTGTGGAAAAATTCTTAAGGTATTGGGCTAATTAACACAATGAAATTATAATGGTTCACTCGTTGGGGAATTCAGCTAACCCACTCTTTAATAGATGCTTTTGTTCATTGGATCTGTATTGATTGCTTTTTACAAATTTCAATAGTGTTCCAATACAGTTAGGTTGCTCGCCCCTTCAATGGAGGCATTGTTCTGTATTTATAGTCTAATTCTTATTCTTGAGGGATCAACACCGAGATCCTTGGCCTTCATCTGAGGGATTGTCTTTGATTCTAGGTGAAGATCTCGGCTAATTGAGAGTTTTGCGCCTCGACGGCAGCTTTCTGTTATTTTGGGGGTTCTCTTTGTTGGCCAGCTGTCTCCCTCTCTCTTCAATTATTATTCCCTTCGAAGGGAACTCAAGGTCTAGTCCCCTGAGCTCAGGACGCTTGCTTGACCTCCATGACTGATCTCTGTGCCTGAGCTTAAACTTAAAATTTATTCTGGGTATCATCAAGATGCATCCTAATTTTTATGACAGTTATTTTTAGTAAGTACAATATTAGATAGATTAAGAATAATCCAGGAAAAAAATGTTGAATCCTTGTTTTTATCACTGAAATCCAATAAGAATATAAATTCAATGGGACGATCTATTCGAATCACTTTTTCTTTAGATTTGTGGCTGCTAGACGAACTTCAAATGCAAACAACTACATGTAAATCATTCATCAGATGAAACTTAAGATCTTGAGATATTAAATGAAATTCTGTAATTCAAACCATTCCAACGAGTTGTTGTACTATATTTTCCTAGTGATTGAAAAAATAGTGGATTTGGTGGGCAATGCATTGTCATTGAGTGTCAACCACCATCAATACAGTAAACAGATACTTTTGCAGCATATCAGCAAGCAAAAACCATAGCTGTCAAAGAAGCAATTTGCAAGGGACAACAATTAGAGTAGCATTTGGTGATGATTGTATCTCACTCAAAGATCATAATCAATGCAGGGCAAGGCAAAGGTAAAGTTGGTGCAGCAGACTCCCCAGCTCTCTCTCTCTCTCTCTCTCTCTCTCTCTCTCTCTCAAATTGTTAAGATAATTATGAAATTGAGTTTACCAAGTTAATAGAAATAATTACATTAGTGAGATCCACTGATCTTTTCTAGTGAACTTCATTAATCCACTCATGCGCATCAACTTTGTAAAATATATTTGATATATATTTTGGTGCCTACATCATTAGTGGTTTTTTCATCTATATACAATGATGTGCCACTATTCCAATGAATCAAGGTACTGGGTTTAAGGCCTTAGTTTCTACCAAATTGAGACACTCCGATTGTCTCGTTCTCTTGGACAAGTTTAATCACAGAATTAACAATTAGAAAGAAAGACGATTGTCATATGTCAGAAGAATGAAAGTTCTTCTCCTTAGTGTTTACAAGTTTTCACATCTATTGATCGGCCGCTTTGAGGCTTCCAAAAAAGACCTTGAAATCCATTTCATTGAGCGTTTGGTATTTCTTTTGGTCAGGCCCGAACCCACCTAAACATGGACATAAGACAAACAAAAGAAGAGGTCATGATAAATCAAAGATTACCAAAAGATTAGTGTGTGGGGTCGCCAACTATGCTAAGCCTAGTTTGTTAACTCCCAAATTCTTCTTAAATCTATGAGAAATAAAGTTCTCAAACAAGTAATAAAATTAGAAGCTCAATTTGTTAGAAGAAATGTACATTAATATTATTAGCTAAACATGCATGCCAAATTTTATACCAATTATGTGCAAAGTATTATAATAGTCTAATGAAAAACATGGAGTCAATCGAACAAGCTTCAAATTTTAGTATTATTCATTTGTTTTTTAATACGAGGGATATTGAACGAGAATAATTTAAATTACACTCGAAATATTAGATTCGTTTATTTATCATGCACTAGAAAATCATTACATTAAGGTGAGGGCAAAAAATTCTATAAACATAATTTGTATAAACAATCATTTCTGCACAAAACATTCCCTTCCCAAAAAAAAACCCAGAAATTTAAAAAAAAAAATCACAACCAATAATAATGTCAAACAAACGCCACCAACGGAGCCGGCTCGTAACAGAACGGCGCCGCCGGGTGCTGCCACTTCTTAAACACCACCGCCTTCTCCTTCGCGGCCTCCGTGCTCTGATTATCATCAGGCCGTCTGATCTCAGCCGTTAACTTTTTTGACTGCGGCGCCGACGGTGACGTTACCAACGGTGATAAAAGAGGTATCGCCACATTCCAATCGGATGGTCGGTTTATCTGTATCGACGCCGGTGCTCTTCGTTGTAACCGAATTGACTGACGCCGATTGTCGGAGTTTTTCACTTTGATGTCGGCCATAAGCGATTATAGGAGATGGGTATTTCTGAATTGTATGATTTTCGATCGTATTGGAGAGGGAGAGGGAGAGAGAATGGAGGGAAGATTTGTTGGAGAAGGTATGTATAAGGGGCATGTAGCGAACAAGGTTGGAATTTGGCCGTGGTTGGTATGAGAAAGAGTCAGAGTCAAAAGGTGGAATTGGTCGTTTCAAGTTTCAACCTCGGCTTTCTTAGAGTAAATTACACTTTACTTTTCTAAACTATTACTCTCGTTGTATTTTGCACATGTAATTATAAAATTTTTCACATTACGTTTTAAAATATTAATTTTATTTTATATCATTCTAATAAATAACGAAAAACTTAAAAATACCACTTTATTTTTCATCTTTTGCAACTAAAGATTGCTAAAAAAAAAAAAGAAATTGGCTAGAGGAAGCAAATTTAAAATTTAAAATTTAAAAAGACAAAATTATGACTAGATGTTTTTCTTGATTTTTGATTTACATCTGTGCAATATGCAATTACTTATTAATAATACAAATCATTCACATGTGTATTTACCGTCAAAAAATTAATAATAGTAATATGAAATAAAATTAACATTTTAGAATATAATATAAAAAATTTTATAATTGAGAATACAAAATAAAATAAGAATAATAATTTATAAGAATAAAATATAATCTAGTTGTTGACGGAGTAGCACTAAAATAGCCTCCTTCATTAGACAAAATCTCTCTAACTTTTTTTTAAAAAGTAAAATACACTTTTAGTCCACAAAATATAATATAACCAATCTTTCAATTATGTCTAATTAATTCCTAAGGTTTTTATTTTTGTATTTATATAATGCAATCCCAAACTTTTTCAATAAATTTTAAATATCTTAATCACCTGATTTAATTCACAATTTTTTTATTTTTTTTTGAGAATTTTCAAACATTGACCATTCGATTGCCAATCAAAATATGCTCTCGAGTCTCAAACTTCCCATTGACAGAGTCACAGAATATGCTCGATAGATTTACACAATAAAAGCACCATTTCCCTAATGTTGACATTTGCAAAATTGGGGGCTAGGTATTATAGGCTATACAAAAAAATAACCCCTAGAGCATGGTTTCATCTCTAATATCTTACAAGTCTCATTAAATATGACTAGGATTGGTGTGATTTGAAAAACGAATCATCTGAAAAGCATTTTAAGTTCTTCAATCCTAGCTGATCGGACTTCCTCGTCGGTGAGGGCTCCAGCTATCATCCGTTGCTTTCTTGCTTGAACTTGTTGCATCCGCTCTTCCACCGTGTCCTGCAACCATTATATAAAACTACTAGTTATTGTCTGTGCTTAAAATTACAAAATAATAAACAATAAACATATTTATATTCATATTTAAAATCAAATCACAAATACAAAAAATAAATAAAAAAATTTAAATATCAATTTATAATGAGGTGAAAAGTGATAGACGACAGTAATGGTGATAGAAAACGATGATTATTGTGATAAATGACAATTACCGTGGTGACGACGATAACAATAGTGGTGGCAACAGCAATGGTAGTGATAGTGGTTGTAGTGGTGGCGGTGGGGATGGTGAAGGCGGTGGGGGTGAGTGTGACAGTGATAATGGCGACGACAATAATGGTGGAGGCGACGACAAAGGAGGTGATGGCAATAGTGGTGGTGATAGTGGCGGGAGTGGTGATAGCGGGGGCAAGGGCGACAAGAGTGATAGTGGTGGTGGCGTCGACGCTGGTGGTGGTGGCAGTGGAGGCGGCGATAATAATGGAGGTGACGGTGGTGGCGATGGTAGTGGTACAGGGAGTGGTGAGACAATAGTAGCGATGGAACAATTTCAAACACTATTTTTTAAAAATATTTATGAGAAATAATTTTAAAAATACTTCAAAAAAATATTCTAAACACATCTTTAAGAACCTATTTTTCCTATTAAATTTATGATATTAATATTAACCATTATATTAACTTTAAAATAAAATTTAAAACAATCATAATCGCGAATAACAAAAATTATTTGATTTATCTTTTGAGATTTAAATTGTAAACTATTTTATTATATAGATGTATTGATAAAATTTGTAGCCGACGATGATGATGATATATTGTATAACATGAGCAGGTTTGATAAAAATTGACACCCTTTCCCTCCGTTGTCCTAGTAGAAGTTTGTGTTAATGGAGAATAACATGAACTGAGGCCTTTACACTCGTAACTATAAACCCAAATTCAAGATACTTATAATCATTTGCAAACCATGCACATAATCCGGGGTTATAATAGACGCATCAAAAAAAAAAATTGTTGGAATAAAGCATCTCACCTTGACAATGAATCTTCTAACGCAAACTGTTCTTTTTTGACCAATACGATGAATTCGCATTATCGCCTGTTCCTCTACTGCAGGATTCCACCATGGATCCTATACAATATGAAAGTTGAAAAAGAAAGCAAAGAAAATAGATGAAAGAAAGAACAAGAGAGGCAAAGATATAATTGTTTACCACGAGAAAAACATTAGAAGCTGCAGTCAAATTCAAGCCCACACCACCAGCTTTCAGTGACATTAACAATACCTGGAAAATGTAAATACAATCAGATCTAGCATTTGATAAGCAACAACATTGAATCAGTATCAAACAGCCAAACCATCAGGAATGATTTGAAGAAACAGAAATAAGGCCCAAAACAATTAATAGTACTTACCATTTTGTCTCTGGTCTCACTGAACTCCTTTAAGACCCTCTCTCTTTGTTTTTGAGACAATTTCCCATCAAACCTTAAGAACAAAATTCCTCTGCTCTTGAGGGGGATCTCCAAAAGATCCAAAAAAGAAGTCCACTGGCTAAAGACAATGCTCTTTTCTCCAGAACCTGAATGAATTGTACGTTCCAAGCAATCCAAGAGCTTTGAAACCTTGGAAGACTCCTTCCAGTTCTTCTCAACATCAACTCTGAACCGGTTTGCAGATGGGCAGGTAATGAGTTCAGTTTTCTTAATCAGTTGCCTACATATTGGGCATAGCCCACATGACGGTGTTCGCCAGCATGAGAAAAGACACTCCCTGCACATCCTATGTGCACAAGGTGTGAGCACAGGGTCATCTGCAGACTCCAGGCATATAGGGCACTCTGTGTTTTCACCCTGCCGGAGACCCTCAACAACCTCTTGAACATATGCTTCACTTGGAACTTTATGAGAGGCAGAATCAGAATTCACCTCAAGGAACCTTCTGGCAAGTTTGTTCAGGTCAGCATATTCTTGTGAATCACCTCGGCTGCAGGTTTTAGAGATGCGAGCAATGTCAGATGAAACACAAAAAGCAAAACCAATAGCAAAAAGAATGGAAAAGACGAGTATTTTGTTCCAAGTAGGTTACAAAAATTCCAAATCCATGCTCACCTCATAACAAGAAATGGGTGGTTGCAACACTGCCTCAATCGAAGCAGCAGCTCAAGAATATTTGCATAATTGTGAAGAACTTTGCCTTGTGCCACAAACTGGTCAAACTGGACCTGTTTATATTGCAGAAAAGATACAAGCTTCAATCTTCAAAGGGGGAATGACAAGGTAATTGTAGGGGATTTATCCACGCGTTCAAGATGTCCTCCCCGCACCGAAGGATTTTAGCTGACCTGGCGTAAGCCTACGCTTTGTGCTAGTAGCCTTTACCTCTCGGTCTCCGAGGGCACGCTTATCCCACATCGACGGAGAGTCGTCTCCCTCCCTTGCATATAAGCCTTGGCACTATATGGAGGTGGTACCCACTAGTAGTGGCAAGGCTTATATGCGAGGGGGGAAGACGACTCTCCGTCGATGTGGGACAAGCGTGCCCACGGAGACCGAGAGATAAAGGCTACTGGCACAAAGCGTAGGCTTACGCCATGTCAGCCAAAATCCTTCGGTGGAGGGAGGACATCCCGAACACGCAGATAAATCCCCTACAGTAATATCAGAATGCAAAGACAATTTAAATCAGTGAAATGATTGATCACCATTTTTGATCACTCAAAATTACTGTAGTTATCATAATAGTGATATGCATATCTTTTTTAAGGTTCAGGCATAAAACATTCATTATGCATGCTAAAATGGATCTTACTTTTGATCTCCTGAAGAGGGCATCATAAAAATCATGTTCAGCTTCTGTTTGTTCACAGTCAATGACTTGGATATCAGTTGGAGGAAGGACAAGTATGGGCCTGATTTCACATGCATAAATCATCAAGATGTTAACATGAATCAGATTTTACTTGCAGCCAAAGGAAAGTAGAAAGAAGACCAAACAAACGAGAATTTTTACCTTCCCTCTTTATCCTTTGTGTCTTTTGTTCTTCTCAACATCAATGGCCTCAGAATAGACTTGATCAATTTCAGCCCTCTCTGATCACCATTCTCATAAGGCCTCTGAATCAATTTGTGCCACCTAGATAATGGAAATTTTTCATTGAAGAAAAAGGACACAATTATTTAATCATCTCATCCTTGAAACTAAATGCAATATCATTTATCTTTTCTCCATCAATGTTGTAGGTTATCACGTAACCGATTAAACCAACATGGCAGAGTTATTGCATTTATGAATTTTTTTTGTCCATACCAAGCCCAGTTGCACCATGGCTCAACATGCAAGAAGCATAGGAGGCTGTAGAGGTCTTCCAAATTATTCTGCAGCAACAGATAATGATTTTGTAAATACTTATTGGACAAAATATCAATTAAATTCAACAATGAAACCATTAAACCAATAATTATTCATCATGCAAACATCTGCCAGTGCATATTACACCACCAAAAGAATTGTCGGAAGGCATATGTCCCCGATGTCCCCACATCATTGACGCTATCACACTGTAAAACAATTAAGAAAGAAAAGGCATACCTGAAGAGGTGTTCCAGTTAGACACCAGCGGCAATACGAAGACAACGTGAAGGCAGCCTGAGCACCTTGAGTCCTTGAAGCTTTGATAGTATGGGCTTCATCTAACACTACCCGATGCCACTCAACTCTATGGAAAATGCTGTTCTCTCCATCCTGCAATTGAATGCACAGAGATAAGGATAAGAAAAAAACTGGCATAAGAAGCATGTATGCTCTACATATCCGACTACCCCTTTGGCTGTGTCTGACGCCAACACTTCTTGAACACTTTCAGAAACATGTCCGAACCCCCCCCCCCCCCCAATGGCCGTGTCCACTGTCCACACAACATTGAGTGTTGTCCACTATTATGATTTCATAATTTACCATAGCTGCAAAACTTTTGACTTACATTTACCCATCCAAAAATAAAAGACTTACAATTTTATAAGCTGCAGTTAAGACGCCATATGTTGTTAAGACCACATCAGGTTCTGCAATAACCTTGGGATCATTGCTTCTATTCCCACCATAGTGAACAAAAATTGAAATGCTTTCTGGCTTTGAATGGGTTCCAAGCTCGTCCTGGGGTTTCAAACATAAATGATAAGGTCTCTAGAAAAGTTTCATGGAGTGCAGCAACATCTCACAATTGAAATCAATAGTATTACAGAACTTATGTGCAGACACAATGTAAAAGGAGTAAAATGGTGAAATTGAGCACAAAACAGAACCCACAAAGCAGTTGCTTTCTTAGTATCATTTTAAGCAAAAAGACTCACATTCCACTGGCCGAGCAAAGCCATGGGACAAACAATGAGAGTGCCGCCTTTAACTTTTAGTGGCACTTGTGCATCAGAATCTTTCTTCTTTCTCTTTATATATTCAGTATCATCCGCCGCCTCTATGAGTATGTTTTGGCTATTAAGGCTTCCTCTGCCAGGTCTTGCAAGTATCAGAGCAATCGTCATCACAGTTTTTCCAAGCCCCATTGCATCTGCCAAAATCTACAGATACGCTTGTCGAATTAGAGAAGAGAATAGTATATCACCTACCCAAAAAAATGTGAAAACATAATCGCACCATATATGATAATAGTTAACACGATTTTACATGAAAAACATAAAATATAACAGAAATAAAAGTTAAATGGATAGTGTAAAAACTTACTCCTCCTCTTGCCATCTGTGTTGCAGTAGGAAATTTTGTAGTTGCTTCCCCAGAGAAAGTATTCACATAAATAGCAGTTGCCCTCCTATTGAGAAGCTTCTTTAATCAAGTTACAGACTTCAGAGATGTTTGGAGTAAAATGCTTCCATATAGGTTATGAGCATAAATGCATTATATTCTTTTTAAAAACTATCAATTCACAAAAAAGCCACTCACTCATCCAATATACTGTACTCAGCCCAACATGGATGAAGGGTTTTAGCTGCTTTCTCAATATCTACTCCCTTCTCTAACCCTGACATCCAATTAAGAGCCTGTTTTTGATATGGCCTCAAATCACACATTAGTGCATCTGGAGGATCCATTTCCTATGCAATTTAAACACAGAACAAAGAAAATGAGAAGCAGCAACCAAGCTGAACTACCAAATCAAGTTTCATTTAATGCTGCAACTATTTATAGCTGCAAATTAAAAGACATAGCTATTGTACAATTCTACCTCCAAGTTATATACATCTGCAGCACCAACAAGCTTGTTTAACGATGATTCTGAGATATCCTGCTCGTCTTTCTTTTGTTCTGGATATTCCTGGCAACCATTTCTTCTTTTAGTTATAGCTAACATGGATGCAGTTTCATCTGAATCACCCTGTTTGATTAACAACTAAAATGTCAATAGAGCCATTTTATTTCCACACATGACTGCATAGATCACCCATACAGATCGATATTGTGTGTGTTTGTACGTGTAGGTGCTTCAACATTTGCTGTGGTTTGCTTTTGTTCTTTTGTTTATCTGTTATTTTCACAAAAACTAGTGAAACTCTGTCTCTGGACATGTAAGCCTAAGGTCACCAAGAAGAAAGATGCAAATGTTTGCTTGGTCTATTAAGTACAATACACATCACGGCCATAACCCAAACTTGAGATTAAATGTTGCAACTCTTCCATAACCTCAAACGAGTATAAACTAAATTCACAAGATAACAAATAAGATGTGGCGATACTTACTTCTAGATTCAGTGACCTTTTCCGAGAATCAAGTTCCTCTGGACTAAAGTCAGCCTGGTTGAAGACAAATATAAAAACAACATAAAAGCCGTATCAAAAACCCAAAACAGTAAAAAAATTGAATTACAGGACTCAAATTTTTTGTGAACAGCAGTGTATATAGTACCTTGTGACGAGGTTTGAATTTCAGCAATTTGAACAGGGTCAACAGAGGATAAATTGTGGAGTCAATGGTCGAGGGGGAACCTAGCTTCCAAGATGACTCATCACCTGCTGTGAAGACTGAATGATGAATGTAAAAGCTGCCAACCAAGATAGAGAGTTGAACACCATAGAAAAATATTAATAACTAAACAATTGCTTAACTAGTCGAAATATTAGAGTAAACAAAATTAGAATTAAAAAAGGTGGAAAGCACATCTACAAATGAAAATGTTGCCTATCAAAGGAAGTTGCAAATTTATACCTTACATACAACATTATCTCTTGCATCAATTGAAGAGTTGACGGTGCAGCTATGCATCGACCATAAACTTTCACCTTTGAAGACCTAACAAGAGGAATGAGGCATTTTGCCCACTCCATCGGAAGGCGACCAATCTGAATATAAATCAGAGACAGAACACATCACTTGTTAAAGTCCAAAATAGAATGTGCAGTCTAGCAAATTCATATGAATTCCACCTTTTTTATACTACCAACGACATTAAAATGTGAATAAACACAAGGAAACATCAATAACAGGATATTTATTACAAAGGTGGCATTAAATGAAGTAATCCAGAAAAGCCTACCTCTCCAGATCTTTTGGTCGAAAAACGAACAATCCATTGTATGTTGTTCTTAAATCCTGAATTTGAAGAACGAAAAGCAAAGTGAACAATCTCATTGTTCTCCAATTTCCTCCCTTTGGTGGTCAAAAGGCCAGTCATTGGCGTTCTGCCCACCAATAACCAGTCAGGTTCTTCAGGAAAATCCCCATCCTCTATTACAACTGTACTAAGCCTATTGTCTACAACTCTTTCCTTCTTCACAGGTTTCGCCATATTATAACCAGAACCCATCTGGGTTCTTCGATATTCATGACCCATTATTGGCCATTGGGACACCGGTTGAGCACAAATTACCCCCTTTGATTCTTCTTTTACACTGAGCTTATTCTCCAACCCCAAATTGGACTCATCTTTCACTTTAACCTCACTCTTCAACCCACTACAAAAATCAGCTTCTCCTCTTGATTCTTCAGGCCTTTCTTCTTCCTTACATTGGTTAACGTTCCTAGTCAATCGAAGCCACTCTCTGTAAGTCAAGTCCTTTTGTTTCTCTGGGTCTCTTAATCCAATACCATCCACACTTGCAATTTCTTTGTTCACACCCAAATCAGGCTTTTCCTTCACTTTGCATTCTTCCGACTCTTTAGCCCTCTCTTCCTTAGCCATTGCATTGATATAATCATCATCGGCCTCAACTTTTGTATTTGTAGCTTGTAAAAACTCGTCAAAAGTTAATTTCACACCATGTTTCTTAACACAAACAGAGCCCTCACCTTCAAGCCCTACATCGGGTTCTTCCTTAACTTTCACCATCATTTTCGACCCATCAAAGGGTTTGATCTCTTCTGATTCTTTATCACTATCCGTCTTGATTTGGGTAGTTGAAATCCGATACCCACCGGTGCTGTTAACCGTCCGCTTAACTGTTAGTGGCGGAGATGAGAAACAGGGAGTGTCGAGGATGTAGTTGATGGCTTTATCTGGGTCGTTGTTGCATTGAGAGAGGGCTTTGACAATGTCCAGTTCCGAGATATCGGGACCGATTACTGACCTGATCATCTTGATGGTTTCCAAATGTTCTGGTTCTAAAGAATCAATGGGTTTTGCCTCCATATCTTTGTAAAAGAATTGAAAGTTCTTAAAAGAAGTTTCTGAGGACTAAGAATTGATACAGATTGAGCAATGGAAGAAATGAAGAGAAAGTGTTAGCGTCTGAGAGAGAGAGAGGAATGAACGGAGGGAGAGATTTGGAGGGTTTTTGATGTTATAGTGAGACTAATTTTGGCGCGAATATTTTTTTCACATTATTAAAAGTTGGCGATCTTTTCTGTTAATTCTTTTCTCTGTAATTTTTTTGGCGCGAAAGGTCAGAGTAAAAAAAAAAGGTCAAAATCTCAAAAACATGGTAGCTATGCGGCGTCGTTTTTGTACGTTTTAGAGAAAAAAAGTTTGGAAAATTTATGAAAAGGTACACCTTTTCATACTTATTTATGTAAAAATACCTCAATATAAAGTATTTGTATATAAGTACCTTTATGTGTAAATATTTTACGAAAATGTACACTTTTGTTGAATTGTAATTTTTTTCTCTTACAAAATTATCATTTTTCTTTATAAATTGGAGACAAATATGGTAGTTATATTAAGAATTCAGTTTCTTAATTTTATACTATATCTTTTTTGAATTTTAAATTGCCTATTCATGTGTGATTGACTAACCGTTTATTCAAACATTTCATACCTATTCCTCTATCATTCAAGCCTCTTTCTCTGTCATTCACTCCATTTCGTAACCAGATTTTCAAACATATTCCAATTAGTTACAATGAAAAAAGTGCATCAGGTATGTAGTCCATATGTTTTTTTTTAAATCGTTACAGTCTCTTAATGTCAATCATATTTATGTGAGGATAAATGTTAATAATAATAACTCAAATGGAGATGATCGTAATAATCAAGATGATAATTCTGATTTACAAGATGATTTGCTGCATCGCACAATAATATCACAATGCTTCAAGACAATGTCACACTGGTACTAAAAAATGTCACACTGCTACAAACCAAATTCACACTGCTACAAACCAATGTCACACTACTACAAGTCAATATCACATTGCATACATTGACATAACGCATGACACAATGTAATAATCAAGATGATGATTCTGATTCGAATGATAATTTGCTACCTCTCACGGTAATGTCACACTGCAACAAACCAATATCACACTGCTGCAAGATAATATCACATTGCATATATTCACATGACGCATGTCATACTATGTATGGCCTCTTTGTTTTTTGGTTTTTTTTTTTGGCAAATGGTTGAACACTTGGTATGCATGTAATACCAAACACCAGAAGTACAAAGGTTATTGAGGGAAAAAAAAGTAGATAAAATAAAAACGTTGGGAGAAACACAACGATCTTCTTCTTTAACAATGAATTTCGATATGGTCATCACTGTTTAATACCAATATTTCCTCTTATTCAAAGTGAACCCATAAAAAAACCCATCACTTATTCAAAGGAATTTTCACATCCTATTTAGCGATCAATATGAAGTTTTGAATCAACAAAACTTAAGGGATCCCTTAAGTTTCGATTATGATTGTTCATTCCAATTTCTTAAGAGAATCAAGAAAACAGACTTCATCTCTCTCTCTCTCTCTCTCTATAAAATCTATCCCTGGACCATATGCAAAGCCTATCTGAGATTGTTGATGGGTTTAAACTTCAAAGAGAGAAAGGGTGCCTGAATTAGAGAGAAACAAGAAACCAGGCATCACCATCTTTGTTTCTCTATCTGTCTCTCTCTCTCTCTGTGGATTCTCACGTGGGTTTTTGGTATTTTTGATGGTTGAGATTTTCAAAGAGAAAAGGTTTCAAATACGTTAATTGTGGGGTTGGATTAGAAAAAAGGGTGATAGTGTGAAGATTGTTTTGGTGATAGCTATGTCATATTGCAACTTTTTCCTTCCCTTTGAGGCGGATGCTTTCTGTGACGTTGGAGATGGAGGAATTGGAATGCACAATCATAATATCGAGAATAATATCCCTTAACTTTCGGTTATGGAAGCAAAAATATAGGAATCGGTTCCATTTTTCTGAATGGGGTATTTTAGAGATTTATTAAAGGTTGTGTACTTTTGGACTTATGTTTTTAAAAGTGGTACTTTATGCCCTATAATTTTTAAAAAGGGTACCGACCCCCTTAAAACCCAAAAAGTTTTTGACTCTAATTTAGGTCCAAAACCATTGGGCCTGCGTAGAGTCCCCTAACAAATGGCATAGGGATCCATTACAATTTTCTCCTTTGAAGGTAGACATTATGAACTACTTATGAGTAAAAAAATACCTTGAAAAAAAAGTGTTGTATATAAGTTGTATATAAGTAGTATTAGACTAAAATGTATTGTGTATGCATATGCAATGACAGTTTTTTTTATTCTTCTCTTTATTATAATACATTTTCTCTATTTTTATGGTATTTGTATTTCGATAGTTTCTTTTTATATGAGATGTGGTTTTATTGATAGGCAGTTTCTTAGTCTGGAAGCTTTCTATTTTTTTTTTTTTTTGAATTTTAATTGCCTAAATCATCCACAAGCGATGCAAGATCTAAATAAAACCAACGTCTGTTTTGAAGCTAGGCTCATCATCATCTATAATATGACATTATAATGATATATGACAATGTAACACCTTCATAAATACTTCAATCATTAATAAGAAATTGTGAAATTACATTCACTTATTCATACACAATCTAAATAGTATACACCTAATAATGTGACACACACACACACACACACATATATATATATTACCTTCAATGAATGGCAGAATTACATCACAATTAATAGAGGGGAAGAAAATTCTAAATAAGGTCAATTATATACAAACATAAGGAAGATAAATTATAATTATGTGGGAGAAATTTTAGAAAAGGGAAAGAAGGTGTTGTTTAAAATTCAAAATCGTTGTCCTATTAAAATAGAAAACTCTTAATGCATTTTTGGAGGACTATAGTTTGTGTATGGTTGAAAACTGAAGGAATTTGAAAAAAATTTGTTCAAATTTTTAAAAACCGAGGTTTGGACCTTGATTAGTGGCTGGATTTTATGGGGATGGTGAATGAAATCCGGCGGTTTACAAAGATAGACAATGTGTCTATTCAGTTACCTCCGTAGGTGTTTTTGAATAAAACAAAACAGAGAACTTTTCCACAAAATATTTTAATTTTATTTGAAGACTAAACTTCCCTCTTACTTAAGTTATTAGAATTTTAATTTTTTAAATTACCAAACTAAAACTCCCTCCAATAATATTTTACCATTTGTTTTTATCCCGTAACATCCCTCTAATCAACCACAATTGGTTTTTAAAATTTAATTAAAAAAATTATTTTTATCACTGAATAATTATTCAATTCTTTTTGTATTTATGATTTACCCTTCAGATTATTTGAATATTTATCTAAACTCATCATACTCCACCGCCACAAATATCACACTATAAACATCAACACCAACAAACAAAAGTCGTTGTCACCACCACCATTATCGTCGCCACCATCATCACCCCAACACCACCACCACCATTATACCCACAGTCATCACACACCCCTCCCCACCACCACTCCCCCCCCCCCAACCTTCAAAATACTTTTTGATGTTGCTCAACAACTCTCATTCTATTGCCATTTTTCGGGATTAGACTAGACATATATGTATATTTAAAGAAGAAAAGTGAAACAATTGGAATTGATTTAGTACTTAAACAAGGGACGAGACATTAATTTAAGTTTTATAATTTTGAGTTATTTGACGTCATGTTTTTGGTTACTTGAAAAGAAAAAGAAAAAAAAAAGAACAACGTGCATCTACATTCAACTTTCATATTTAAAAAATTTAGTCATTTTATGATTAATGTTACACTATCCAAAACATACGACTCAAAATAGAGTTCAAATGATATGGCAATTAAGAAGTGTCAAAATATGACACAACGACACAGAATTAGAGGATTTGAGTCTTTAGTAAGCCACTCGTTTAGTAAACAACTGGTCCTGACACAACACGATTAATAAATGATTTGAGTATGGGTGAAGTCGATAAAAAAAATACATGACACGAATCTTTTATATACCAGTTATACACAGTTCCTACACGATACGAACTTAATATGACACAATTCATTAGACATGAATTAATAAATGAATCATATATGGATGGAGTGTTTTTGACACAAAGTTGCTAAAATTAGATATGAACTCCTCTTATCTAACGCGATTATTAGGCCTAATGACAACCTGACATATTAAATAAAATTTAAATTTTAAATGAATGTACTCTACTATTTATTGAATGGTTACTGAACAGGAGATTTCCTGCAATAGTTTGAGATAGCGACCTTTAGCCTGGTGGATCTGCAACAGTCACAAGGTCAGAAAAAGAGGGTCAAGTGAACACCCGGCTTGTCCCCTCCGAATCTTAAGTCAGTATAAGATTGAAGGTTTGAGCTCAATGTATCAAATATTTTGGTTCAATGTTGCGTACCTTTGTTTATTTTTCTAAGGAGTATTTATACCTGAATTAGCAATGAGTGCAAAGACTTTAAGTCTCATCTGAACATTTAATACTTGACGCTTCTACCCACAAGGATTTGAATGTTCTTCACCCAGATCTTCTCACATTCAATGCTGGGGCGACAAGACAAGTGCTCGGGGACGTGCCAAACACCTATGGCTATTCCCGAGCACTCAAGTGTCTATGATCGGCACCTGACACCTACTTCTGTGACTTAATGCTCGGGGGGAACAGTACCTCGTGGCGTACCAAGGAGATGCACTCGGCGTATAAGCCATTGATGTCTAGCCATCATGACCGCAGGCCTAGGGTCTGAGACTACAGGGCCTCATTAAAGGCACTATCTCCATCACTTGCTTTGCCATAAATAAATGGTAAAGTCACATTAAATGCGGATGTCAGCTCGAGCACTCGGCTCCTCCAGGTCGTCACCTCTCGGCTCGACTCCTCGGCGCCCTTTGAGCTCCACAATAGCTACAATTTTACACGTGTCGATTCAGGGGCTACTGACCCACCTTA